AATGTTATTCAAATGTATTCATAATTACACTTATTTCCTTTCGTTGCATTATTTGTAATAATTATTTTCAAAACAGTCTCTTGACATATTCAATAAACAGACATGAGAGTGACATCTTCACATATAACTCTCTACAAGAAAGCACATCCATGTCCCAAATGGTCAAACTATTACCTTAAATGACATACTCCTCACCACTCTGACTCTTGCTATCTGTGAGCAAAGTCAAATTAACTTTTTGAGAGAGGACACCCAATGTATTATGTCTGGCTGAAGGAGCACACACTGCCAACACATTAACAATATCCTGTATGTAAGACAAGCATAAGAGGCAGTGAGACAGCTTACACTTCGATATACATATATCACACCAAGGCTTGCCAGGCTGTGATTTCAAAGGAGAAATATTACGTTCTCACCTCACTTGGGGCCCCTGTGTGCCAAACTGCCCATCACGGGCTCAGAGTGTAACTGGTGGGAAGACAGGTGATAAATCAGACCTCCCAAAGAGTTGTCTTAGCACTCTTATCCTCTACCCCCAGGTTGCAGGGCTAGTGTAAACCATAGTCAACACATCACTTTGGCTACAGGCCTATGGCTGCTGACCTGTAGGTTAATAGAAATGTTGTCAGGCTTTAATATCCGGTCACCCTTACAGAAAACTAGGATAATGGAGAGGAGAGAAGTAAGAAGTGGAGAGAAGGAAATGGAAGAATAAATGGGTAAAAAAGTGGCAAAGAATAAGCTGAGTAAGCATCAAAATAAGGCAGCATACTGTATAATGTATATTCCCATGGTAGCACCTTTTTAATATTAAGGCATCAAGGGCTACACCACTACACAATGGACCTAGTTAAAGCGAAAAAGAACAAATGGGAGCATAACGGGATAATTAAAGCACCCACCATGTGCACTAAAATGTTTAGCAGGAGGGATAAGATGGGTTGGACTGACAGCAAAAGAGGAAGGGACAGGAGACTAAGAAGGGGAGCAGGCAGATTGATACCACCACTCCCGTCACTACTCTTGTCACATTTTTATTTTTGATTGTGATGAATGGTGGAGAATCTGATATGCATTCCAAACAATGAAGACCCTGGCTAACAATCAGTTTTCTATCCATCCATCTATCCATCTAGTATTAATTTGAACAGATGGAAAAACAGTTTCAGCACCACTAACTAAATTCAAAGGATTTTAATCAAACCTAATACAGAGGGAAAGGCCATCCAACAACTGCTGACATGTGTGTACCTATGAGTAGAGTGAACAGAAATAACGCAAAGCGCTAAAGAGTGAGAGGAGGACAGTAGGTGTCAGATTGTGGGAGGTTATCATCATCTCTAGCTTAATGCTTCAGTCTCTTTCCATCACCATCTCCCCTCCCCTCCTCCATTGCCTCAGAGCCACCGATAAATTATGGATGCTTATTAGAAAAGGGCAATATTCAGCATCCAAAATAAACTCAGCAGCAAGAGACATAAAAGATACAAACAAAAAGTGCTGATGTGGGGAGAGGAAGAGTTAAAGTCACAGGGGACAGGTCAGTTAAACCTGGAACCATGTCTTTCTAGATCACTGGCTCTCCACCCATGTTCTATGGCAAGCTAATGTACTGCAGCAAGTAAAGCTCTGCATTAAGACGATGCACAAATGTTGGGTACTCGTCTATACACACACACGGAGACAGACAGCAAATAAAAAACCAGCAATGTTTTCCAAGCCATTCATTCTTCCTTGGGCAACATCTTCAAAGTGATGTTAAATGTGTGCGCTATGTAGGCATATTAAGCTTTTCCACTTTCTGCATCTCTTGTAGTGCTTTGTTCTATGGCCAGTGGCAAGGCCTCGGCTCTCCTGCTGCTGCAAGAGCCTTGCTTAAATCTAACACAAAAAAAACACAAACAAAATCATTGATTTAACTTCATTCAATTTCCTGTTAACAAGCACATAATGAAGCATCCGATTGCAAGCTAATGCAGTTTGGATTCCATCTACGGCACCAGCTAATGGTTTTGTGTGACTTTGACAAGCAATCAATAATTTGGTGTCCCTGTGAACTCCGTTGCCTCGCAGAGTGTGATGTGATGCAGCGCCACAAAGATGAAGAGACACTTTTCTGGTTCACTTTGCCTGTATGATATTGTAACTGTTTAGTCCTTCAGACGAGACTCATCCTGTAAGCCTGTCTTGAAACTTTCTGAACCTCCTCTAATCCTTAAGTATGTTAAGAGTTGGCACATGTGACATCATACTTGTAATGCCCGGGATTACGGCATATTCGAATGAAATGAAACTTGAAAATGACTCTATATGTAGGCCTTTACATACAGTAGATGTTTGTGATCAGAGTATGGAGATGCATATGTGAGAAAGAAAAGAGAAGACTCGTAAAAAATGTATATGCTACTTAAAAATGATATTATAATCATGCATAACAAAGCATAATGTGAATTAAGCATATGGTGCAAGCTTTTCTTTAGGAATAAATTATTGCATTTCCTTGCTGCGAGTGTCTGTCCAACACCTATTTGAGGGACAGGTGTTACAAGCTTTTTGACAGCCTATCAAACATTCACAGAAGTACAATCAATACTACACCACTGCAAGAGAAACAGGGACTCATCCAGAAGTCCCTGCTGAGCCAGGAAACTGTTGCCGTGGGAAGGAAAGCGCGTCTGCCGCACAAACAAGTCCCACTCACACATGTAGGTGGAAACACACACAGGCTCACAGGTTTGAGGCCTCACACACTTCACATCCATACATGCAATGTATGAACTCACATTTACAGTCACGAGAACGAACACCTGCGTGTAACAGACTTAGAGGCATGAGCTGACAAAAACGCATGCATCCAAAGTACACACCCCAGAGAAGGCTACAGTAAAGGAACATCACAGCCGTCCAAAGCGCTGACATCAATCAGCCCGCTTACACCGTTCAGTTCCCGACGGACAGCGAGTCGCATCTGTCTGCTGGAGGAAGTGCTAAACAATTCCAAAGTGAGGGAAACCATTTTATGCATATCTGTATTCATAGCTAGCGAGCGTGCCAAACTCGCTTGGCTCTCTTCCCAATCTTCCCCACTTGTGTTCTTCACAGCAATTGTGCAGATTATGAAACAATTTGTTCCTTCTGAATGACTCTGATTGATGCTTATTTACCTATACATGAAAAAGTTGTTAAGCAGGTACGCACAGCTGAGCACCGCCAACATCACACAAGCCACCTGGGACTCTGGGCCCTGTGAATGCTGGCAAGCATGGTTCCCACAAAGCTTTGGGGAAATAAACTATCATAAAAAACAAGATCATTGCATCCTCCTGTAGTACTGACGCTAACTGTATACTTTTTTTATTCAAGCCACTGCATGTTTGTGACTTAGAACATAAGGCACTGCTGCACAAATTAGACAATCAGAATATAAGCATGTTTTCTGAAAAGGGCAATTGCACAAGGGCAAACTGGAAATGTGAGCCTTGTGCAGCACAGCGTAACTAGATCAGAAGAGAAACTGTGGGAAGACAACTGATGGAAAAGATTAAACACACCCCTACAAAAGTCAACCCTGAAACTCATACGTTCTGAAAAACCTATATTTTTCTAACTGCACTCACAAACCTACATTACAAAATTCCCAATATATTTATGCTGGGAATATTTTTGGAAGAAACGTAATAGATTGATGGTAAATCATTGCTTCATCAAAGCCTGCACACCAGTCAAACTGATTCCAGATAAGAATGCCACTCAAATCAGGTACATTGTTTTTCATTGTAAGGCCATGTTTGACATTTCCTATAAAACAGATAGTGAACAAAATCATAATTGCTGAGATTCTATCTGTCAGTCACAGCTCTGCCTGCAGCTGTGGGTCACACAGCTACAACAGATTCTGGAAAAACCTTCAGTTTAAGGCATCAGTGCAATGCTTCAACTGGTGGTCAAAACCAAACACACGCCGAGAAAAGATCTGAGAATTGTAAGTGGTTTAAATGCACGCTAATAGTGACACCAGTATGAAGTATTAGAGTGGTGTAAGCCTGATTAGTTAGCAGGGACTTCGACATGGGCCTACATGCTTCAGCAAATGACAGATTGTCAGCATTTCTTAGTGTGATGGCAGGCAGCAGGATTTCTTGTGACAACAGCACTCCATGTGATGCTACTAACCAGACCTCTTTTTCTATGGCTGCCACATGCCTTCAAACATCAAAATCAAAGTATCAAAGCTGACAGATCAGTTTGTGTGTTTGCATTTCCAGAAGGGACAGGACAGGAGGATGCATCTGGCCTGTAGCTGCAGAAACAGTGTCTGTAGTAGGCCTACAGCGAGACAGTCTTAAGAGGAAACAAATCTCCGCTTTATCCTCAAAAGCGCAGTGTGACTGTCCTGTTTAACCTGACAAAGGAGAGTTATGTCTCAGAGAGCTTTACCATTATCCTCCTGTTGAGACCTCTTGTCTGTGTGTACATGGGAAATAGTGGGAAGTTAAATAGTGGCCAAACTATAGACTCAATTCAGTAATAACCATTAAATAATAATTTAAAGTTTAATCATACTTTGTGTAATAAAACATTAATTTGTGGGCCAGGTGTGGATTTCAAGATATATATCAGCCTAAAAAATTGAATTACATGGATTTACAATAGATGGGTTTACCCTCACATTGCTGGATGTTTTCCCAGTCGCCTCCTGTGACTTCTAAAAAGCAATATCTCCCTTTCAAGTTAATTTGCTGTCGATCTCCCTGAAGCCATTCTCGCAGTAGTTTATACACCAGTTATCATAGTGCCTCCTAGAGCGTCGTGCTAAAACGCGGCAACATGTGGCGCGGAGAAGCCCTTAATTAGGGTCATGGACTAATAATTGGACAAATTAACATCCCTGCTGCAACGGGGATCTGTCATCCTGCACTAATACAGTATACTGTAATATACTGTAGTATATTGTGCATTGATGTGGTAACAGGAATACATAAATATCGCGTTCTTACCGTAAACTCCTTGGCCAGAGGCATGAGGATAGAAACTAGAAAATAACAAAATCCAAAAAAGCTCCATGTTCAGCTCAGTTCCGTCATAACCTAAGCGAGAAGGAGACAGAGGGAGAAATGTGAAAACAGAGCAACAGCCTGCAGATATATGGAACAAACAAGAGGCGACAGCTGAGTGGTTGTTATCAAAAAATGAAGAAGATGTACTTGCTATTTGTTTTTCAACTAGTCGCCTTGAACCCCTTTAGCCGAGGGAATAATATCACAGAGCAATTACGCTCCCAGCCGATCAGCCTACATCGTTTCATTCGATTTAAAGGACAGGTAATTCAATCACAAATCGCGGATTAAAGGTTTACAAGCAGGTTCCGCTTGTGATTGATTCAGAATTGAGGATTGACAGGATTGTCTGCTGTTAAGCGTGACTAAACTTCCTTGCCCGGGTGGAGGGGGGGCAGGTGTATTCAGGACAGGAGGAATATAACAGACTGCAGTATTCACGGAGGATTAGCTAACACAAGTGGGGTCATGCACATTGGATCCCAACACCCACACATACACGCAGCCCGTTTGTTCAGATCAATATCATTATTCCAATGTTTCCGAAGCAGACAGAAGGTTAAAGGTTTACGCCTATAGGGAAAAAACACTTTATTGTTTATCCTGGTATTTGAACCACCGTTTTATAGGAGCTATTCAAAACCTGTTGGAAAACTTAAAGAAAAGATAGAAAGCTGAGTCAGAGGCTAATAACTTGAGTCTTATGACTCTTCTGACCGAGCATGAGGATTTCCTTCGACTTCAACGATTATATGAATAAATCCGGCTGCATTGACAGGTTGCATTACACAGCTCGTCGTGATCAAAGTTTCATTATACAATTCATGCGAGTTAATACTCTGCATTACTGTCAGGGCGCGCTGAATGAGACTGGCTATACTGTCTGACATGCAGTTTATCCTTATATCGCCTGCGTAAAAGCGACAGAGGGTTTGAAGTCCCAGGATTTAAATATTACCGGGGAGACATTAGCCGGCTTTGATTCTGATGTGGAACAGATTACATTAAATAGAAAACTGCCTCACTAAAACATCCACTTTTCATGCTCAACTTGGACATGTAATAGATAAAATATGAAACCTTGACAAGAATAAATCACGTAGTCTCTCTGTGCAGGAATGTCTCGTCTCTACCTTTTTCTCTAAGCGGCAGTCCTTTGGGTCAGTCTGCTACCCGGAGCTGCGCGCGTTCCTCCCGGCTCAGCGAAGAGGATCCCTCCGCTCTCCTTTAGACAAATCCACCTCCGTGTGTCTCCACAAAATGCGTTGAAAAGTTATATATCCTCCTCCAGTGAGCGTCCGGTGTGAGCTTTACAATTCCCGGGGAGTATAGAGGAGATTTTCTGAGCTCTCAGTCCTCTCAAATGATCGTCTTGGTGTGTTAAAGTTTTGTTTTACGCACTGGGAGAAGAGGGCAGAGGAACCTCAGTGCTGCTCGGAGTCCCTCCTCCTAGAGATAAACATAAAAACCAAATCCCCTTTGACAAACTCAAGTAAAATCCTAACACAGTCTCTTTTGAGGATTATTTACTTATTTACTTTTAAAGGCGTGGTTGAAATGTCTTTGCTCTGTCTATCTTTTCCTCTGACAGTCTACTGAAGCCCTTCTAACACAATCATGCGCTCTGAAAATGAGCTCCCCTCTGCTCGGTTCAATCAGATAAAGTAGTGCTCTCATTGGTTACAATATTGATCACCATTAAAAGGATAGTTTAGGAACCACTCTATAGGACAAATCTTTGTTTGTATTAAGGGCTAGTGCCAAGCCCACATATTAAATTCCAATCTAAAGTGTTGATTCACCATTGTGGCATAGTTATACCATAGGACTTCGGTTTTAAATCCTTGATAAAGGAGGGGAGTAATTGTTGCATGTTCGGACACCCAAGGTTCCAACACTGCTAAAGAGTTTATCATTGTTTTTTAAGTAGACCAGAATTATAATGAGCTATGAAAGGCAGAGCGACACAGATCCTAGTAATGTTTTGACTCAGATAATAGTTATTGTACAAAAGTTTCTGAAATAGATCATTAGACATTTAATTAGTAGTGGTACTCGAAGGAAGTGAGTTTTTGTACCAAGTTTCAGGAAAGTGGGAGGCGGAAGTCCCAATGACAAGTGAGAATCATCTTGAAAATCATAGTTGAAATCGTGACATATTTTTGTAGACAAAGGATACTGGCCTATGCTGAAATGTCAAAGTCTCTGCAGAGCACGACACATGGCCAAAAAAGACGGAGACCAACTGACCTTTGACCCTGACCGACAGTGTAACTTGACAAGGCACTGTGGATGACTGACTCTGGGGTGAACCTGACCAAACTTGACATGACAACCAGACAGTGTGAGTGTGAATGAATGCCGGCATGTGATCAGTTGTAACTGCATGATTCTAAAACAATAACTAACCAAGCATGTTTTTTTTTTGGACTAACATATTATTTTGGAGCTCCAAGGGAAACGAGAGGTTTCCTAAAAATTCCACAAAAAGGGGAAACCGCACATGTGATATTTTTACTCTCACATGAGTTGGCGGTTTGCAAATGTAAAAGCTGAAGATTCTGTTTCTTTTAGGCCTGAAGGACGGAGAGGAAACACTTCTTTTCACTGAAGTGTTCACTGTGGAAATATGATCATAATGTTCGTTATGTCCCTAACCAATTACCTGACAGTTTTTGTTCCCCTCCCATTACAGGCTTTTGTTACACATGATTTCATGTGTAAAGGGGGGAGTGAGTATAATGTATAAATGTCAACATGGCTGTAAAATTCACAATTTACATTTTTTTTTTAAGGATTGAGCATTGAATGTAATTAACCTGCTCCATATCTGGGGATAAGATACTGTTTGATGAAGGTTGAGATGTTTCTAAATATTGATTTGAATTATAGCAGGTAACAAAGAAGCAGTGGCCAAGGGGCTACTGTGAAACCGAAGAAGTTGACCTGTGATAATGAAACAATTTTGTAATATTTTAGCAGACATTAGAGTAACTGAGGTTTGAAATGTAGAAAGAACATATTACAGTTAAAGCTAAAACATAGTAGTGTATTGAGACAGAATTTAATTTAGACAACATCATGTAACTAGCCTGGTAAAGAAGTAAGAGCCATAGACTTTATTGTTTAGGTCATTATGGGGATATACATTTCATCTAAATTTATAATAGAAAGACATTTGATGACAGTTTGTTGGAATTCTGTATTCATTTTTTCAGCGTGATAATATCTAAGCACTGACAGGTAGAAGCCAGTATCACCAGGAATCATTCACTTTGTTAGCATCGTGATTTTGGTTGTTTTTGAATCCATAACATTAGTGTGTTTCTTTGCCAGAAACATTAGCAGTTCATATTATATTTGGATTTTAAATAGGATTTCATTTAAAAATAAACACAGATGCTTGTCAGAAATTCAGAGCTATTGAAATATGTTATTTAGTTTACCTAAAGATGTTGAGGTTCTTATTTAGTTGGCACAATCCAAGTATTAAGATTCTGAAGCTGCACTGGCAGATAGGAGGTCTACAATTAATTTAGAAAACCTGTTCACAGACAGCTGTTGTTTCAAGACACCCCACCAACAGGCTCCAAGTGGGGCAAAACAGCTGAGCGTAGGCTTGAGGGAGTTGTATCAGATTTCTCCACACAGGTCACCGGCGCCAAAAGGGGGACCCGAGAAGCACGAGGACAAAGTGGCTCAACCCCAGGCTCTCCGACCCCGACCGAGTGACCCAGCGGACCCTCTTATGCCATCTGCTGGGAGAAAAGGGGGACAGCTCGTACCACGGGAGCCAGTGTTGCGGCGGGGGAAACCACCTGCTAGGACCAGGGGACGACATCAGGACGGACGTGGCCCTGGCAGACGTGGACTACTCGGAAGCAGCAGACTGGAGGAGCAGGACCCTGGAGGCATCCTTACAGCAGACGACCCGGGAGGCATCATCAGCGGGCCGGAGAAGGAGGACCCTGGAGACATCTCTACAGCATCGACCCAGAAGCTGCTGTCAGCGGATTGGGTGGACAAAGACACGGCAAGCCGGGACGGCGCAGCAGAGGAGTCTACTTTGCTCTGATCAGTTCTACCCGTGAAGGGAAAGCTGCATCTCCCCCTCCCTATTAGCTGTCCTTGTGGGCTATTCCTCGGGGGGGGGGGGGGCTGATGATTCTAGCACTCAGCTACCCCCTCATGGTTCCTTCACTGCCATGGAAAGTGGTGTTCGGTCTCCATGAAGGTTTCAAGTACTCTGAATACCAGCTTCGGATGGATTTACGGACACAGTAGAAAAGAATGACCGTGGGTATATTTCAAAATGGCCTTGTCTAAGTTTATCTCTGGAGAAGGAGATAAAAAGGGGGATTTGTAGAGTTATATTTGTATTTATTCATGTAGCAAACTATGGATAAGCTTAAATGAGAATAATTTGGGTAAACTGGTGAGCCTGGATTTGGGGCCTGTTGGACATGTGTTTTTTGAGGGACAACGGAAGATGGGGGAAGGTGAGAGCATGTCCTGATTTGCATTCAACTTAGAACGAGCTACAGTGGTTTGTGATGTTAAGAGAGGTCCCTTGGGTTTCTCTGGTGCTTATCAATAGTAGCAGTTAAGTGAATACTGTTCAAAACAATACCTGTGTTTGTGTTTTATATTGATTTCTCTGTTTTATCCTTTCATAAATGTAAGGACTACAATGGCTATAAACATTCTGGGCTGGTTGGAGTAAACAGGGTTTTATAGCTCTGTGGGGGAGGTGTAGGTATGCAGGCCTTGAGACCTTTTGTTGGAAAGTGAGCCTGTTTGGTTTCCTGCTGCGTTTCCTGCTGCGTTGCGTCTCCCAATGAGATGACCTGAAAAGATGACCAGCTGACCTAACACCAAACCCCTCCTTCTTACTCTGATATATCTCCGGAGGATCCCTGGCGTTCGGCCTCTTCTTCACATGCTGCGCTCGGGTGAAAGTAGCTCTGCAGTATGCGGACTAGAGCAGGAGTAAGCCGGCATTACTCCTTAAGCATTACAATACAACATGATATATCAGTTATATTGTAATGATTGTATTGCATTGTCATATTGCCATTAAAGTAGATTATTGTTAACGGTTACTTTGTAGATATGGATTCCTTCCTGTATTATAACCAGCTTCATAGGAACGCGCGGAGATTTGAAAAGCGGATCAGATATCCCTTCAAATCTCCAACAACACTCACACAGATGCACTTCTTACCTTTTAATAACTTGGTGGAGCTACATGTGGACACTTTTACAATCATATATTTTTGGATTCAGTTATGATCACACATCTATTTTGGATTGAACATCTGTGCCTTGTGACGTTTAACAGTGAACAAACTGAAGTTCTGTTTATATTCAGTGTAACATACTCTCGGCCACTCTTCCACACACACACATTATGCTGCTCTCGCATCAACAATTGTGTGAGTAAACATGTGAAGTCCACTTAAAACAAGAGTTTAAAAACTCCAGGGTACTAAAGGGAAGAAAGGTGAAAGAACAACTGAATACATTCATATTCAAAGGACATCCTGGGGATCATCTTAAAAAATATCAGTTAGAAATTGAATTCCTACATGACCTTTCATGAAATTATCATTTTTTTGATATCTATAAGAATGACTTAAGTTGGAATATATTCAATATTACACCTTCACTTTTAGGGTGTCATTTTGATGTACTGCTGGGTAACATATTTAACTGTCTGTTACTATACACTAGAAACCTATGCATAAGAAGCGCTTTGAATTAACCTCCATTGAGGGACCATAGAGCAAAAATACTGTGTGTAGTCTTCATATATGACTATGAGGTATTAGATTACTTTTACTGAAGAACATAAACACAGAATGAATATAGTGGCCTGACATACTAATGCTAAATATTTGTGAAGGTTAAATACAAGTAGACTGGAGTAACTCAAACTTGCATTGCATTATAGCACTATACATGTATGAAGCTTATCATACACACAACTCCTGAAATTAACATCTCAAGATAATGACAAATCCCCTTTTGTGTCTCTAAATGTGCTCTGTCTCGAGCCCTGACTCTTATGTGTGCAGTTCATCAGAGCACTACAGGCTGTAATGTGATCTAGGGTGCCTGGTGCCATGTTTTCTGGTTACATGTTCCCATTATTGTAATTGAATCAGACCTCAAAGTGCTGCATATCAACACCAAGCACTTCCCCACATAGAAATAGTTCAATGGACAGAAAAGATACACTTGGGACTGCCAATAAATTCAGTGTGTGTGTGTGTGTTGGGAAAAATAAAAGCAATATAACTCTGTTAAACAGAGATGGGATAACAGGCATCTCAACTTGACAACTCAACTCGTCGATACACAGACGAGAAAGGAAAGTGGACGGTGCAAAGGGCTGAGAGGATTCCAAATCCCTGAGGGAGATTAGAGACTGACATCTGACAATAGAGAGAGGAAGGGAATCCAACAGCTGACTGTTGCAAATATCTAGTGAAATTATGCATTGTTATCCTAGTTGTATCAGCACAGAGAGCAACTTCGAATCGCTCTTGATGACTTCCAGCTATTTTTTTTCACACAATATACTAATTCCACCAACAATTCCCATTACTAGATGTGTGGACATCTGCAATATCCTAACTGGACATTGTCAA